TTCAGAACATCTCCTTCAGGATGAAAATCCTTGTACTCCTAGTCAAATGTTCCTTTCTAATTTCCCCATTCTTTTCTTTAACCACATATTACTCAGCAAATATCAAACCTATAATATAAATATGGACAATTCTCCTATTTGTGTCCAGTGGGTCTACTAATTCATCCTGCCTAATAATTCTTAGATCTCTCTACCTAATATGTACCTGGAACCTCAATTTATGGCCTAAACTTATCATTTCAGGATATTAACAGTCCTTTTTATGTTTTAACTACTTTTTATTTATAGATGCTTTACATTCATTATCTTATTTATTCCACACAATTATTCTAAAATGAAGAAGTACTTTCCCTGAATTTACATGTAAGCAATATGAAGCTTAATTATTAAAATAAAGAACTTTGATGTAGTCACATGTAACTCCAAACCTAATATATTTAAGCTACATTCATTCATCTACATTTGATGTTCATAAATGCACAGTGGTGCATAAAGCACTGGGGTGGTATGTTTTCCCTGGTAGATTTATTCTTGAACCTTGTAAGAAAAATTCAATATAAAGAGAATGAGGAAAGCTTACTATTTGAAGGACTCCTATAGTAATTCATTCAGTAAAATAAAGTGTCCATCTAGAATCCAAATTACTAGAGTTAATGCAATGAACCCAGCTGTGGAGTCAAACAGATGAGGATTCAAATACTCCTCCTGCATGTGCAACTAGAGATCTTTTAGAAAAATACTTACCTTCACCATGATTTCATCAATAAAATGAGGAGAAAAATATCAACATCAAAGTTTAGTAAATGACAATTTTATTTCCCAGTGCTAAGCACAAACTCTGGTAATTATAGATATTTAATGTGTTTGCTACATTAATAAATTATATAATTTTTTACTATTCACATGTTAGTACTAATATATGAATTAGTTCATTTTTGTCATTGAAAAAATTGTAGACTATTAAGTGTTTGGAGAGATATTTATTTTAAAGATTTATTTTTATTCATGCATACAAGAACTGGGGTGTAGGCCAGAGGTGCAGGGGGTGAGCAAATTCATCAGAGACAGAGTGGAAAGCAGAACAGGCAGATCTACTGAAATACATTGCTCGGGGGGGAGCAGAGGACTAGACAGGAGAGGTCTGCTGTGCCATGTGAGTTATCTCCCTGCCCGGGGATTGAACTCATGCCACAGTGGCTGGCGATAGTTTGATAGCACTGAGATTTTAACCCCTGCACCATCAGGAAGGCCCTGTCTGACTATTTCTGACGCTTTCCTATGGGTCCCCATCAGAAGGTGCTTTAGACTTGTGAGAGGCTTTGGGGCCTTGCTTTGGGCCAACCCTGTTAGGCTAGATTTTACCCACGAAGGGATGGATAACTTTGGTTGCTTGATTTGGAAACTATATTCTTTGTCTTTTCTGCATTACACTCTAATTGTATTAAAGTTCCTTTCCACTAAAGGTGTATATGTTTTGTCTTGATGCAGTGGATGGCAAAACCTATTTAGAGCAGTCAGGTTTGGAGGCTCTGGAGTGCCCCTCTCTCTGCCCTGTAACAACCATTCCCCTAATGATGACATTAAATCATGTATGCCTCTGAAATTCTGCCATTCTCCAAAATCTTGTTAAACAACAACAACAACAATAAAAAAACCTTTTTCTATAATAAAGTATTCATCATTACTTTTATGTCAGTATTGAGTGTTGGTCTTGTCATCACTTGACAAATATTACCCTGTTCTTAAAGGATACAATAAAATATTTAGAGTAAAACAAATTAGTTTTGCAATTGAACCTCAGATGGTTTAGAAATGATCACTTAGAGAGAGAGATAAAGCAAAGGTGGCAAAAGATATTAACAATATTTTACTGGTATCTCTAGGTGAAAGTTCACTATTATACTCCGTAACTTTTCTGTAGGTTTAAACTATTTTTGAAAGTTAAAACAATAAAACCAAGAGAAGTGCCTCTGCAAATTGGCAGAGTAGGAACATTCAGGCCTTTGTCCCCCCAGGAAGACAACAATATAGGTGTCAAATTGTTTTTGTGAGAAATCTAGGAACCAATTAAGAGGCACAGCACCAGAGGCAAATGCAAAGCCTAGAAAAGATGCTTGGAAGCAGGTAGGAAAAATCTTTGCATTTGCGGGTTCTACCCTCTCTTCCTCCCTAGCATAAACACGTGTTATCTAAAAAATAAAACAAAACAAAAACTATCAACTTTCCGTTCCTTCCTGGGGAACGGAAAGTTGACTGTGCATCCAATATTCTGACTCTCCTAGGAGGCCCAAGAGTCTGGTTTCTTTCTATTCTGCATGATTCAGAGTGTGCAGATGGGAACAGAGGTATACTTCGGGCGCTAGGTTGGGGAGACTGCAGCACCGCAGACAGACACTAGGGGGAAATGGAGATTATGTGCTCTTGAGAAGAAGCAGGGTGTCCTGGCAGTCTATAGCATAGGTGACTGGTTTTTCAAATGCCCAAATCTCAGTAAGTACAAGGCATAGGAAGGAAAAGACATAAAGAAACGGAAACTTGACCAAATACAAGGAACAAGAGCCACAAAATAAAAATGAGAGAATAGCCAAAACAATCTCAAAAATAGGCAGAGATTTGGAGGGATTTACAAGCTGATTTCAGAATTTATTATGTAGCCACAGCAATCAATATGATGTGATTATAGATATAGTTATAACTATGTACACACACAGAATAGAGTCTCGAAGTGGATTCACATGTGAATGGTCAGTGCACTGTCACAAAGATGCTTATGCAATCCATTTTAAAAAATAATGCTAGAAAAAAATAAAAATAATGCTAGAACTGTATGACCATATGTAAAAGAAAAAAAGTGAGAAAAAAACTTGACAATTATCTTATACTGTATACAAAATTAGTGTACATTATTTGACCTAAATGTCAAAATAAAACCTATGAAATTTCTGAAAGTATAGGAGTTACTTTGGAGTACACAAATATTTCTTATATAGAACTTAAAAATACAACTATAAAAAAGATTAATTAGACCATCAATATTTAAAACTTCTCTTCAAAAGACAGTTAAGACACGCCTTAGGCTGATAGAAATTTTTGCAAAACATTTATCTACCAAAGGATTTGTATCCAGAATAAAGAACTCTTACCACTCTTTATTAAAATATTAAAACTGAGAAGTTTATATCAACCTCAATTTCTTTTCTAAGTATGAAGCATTTAAAAGGCAAGATGTGGATATTCAAAAAGAAGCTAAGAAAGAAAATCTTACGTTACAGTGGAAACCTGTGTGCCTGAAGAGGAATGAAGGATACAAGAAGAAGCTCAGCAAAGCGACCAAATGAAGAAGCATGAAAGAGAACAAAGCTAACTGAATACCAAAGACAGCACAAGACAATGACAGAGGAAAAGTTTGAAAGAAGATGCCCATTCTTCCATTGCCCTTGAAAATGTCTCTGGTCAACCTGCTCCACTGGGAGTACACATTTTGTGTGCCTAGTACCATGAATTAAAACTGAGCACCAAAGACCACAAATGAGAAGTTTAAAGGAGAACCTACAAATAAGACATCTGAGTCAGAAGGACATTCCTGACACAGCAAAGGAGGCCAGAATCCTGAAGCAGTCACAGAGAAAAGCAATGATATACAAAGGGAAAATAGCTCTGGAAATTTCTGAGGGAGTGAATCCTCCTGCAGTGACTGCTTCTCCTGTGGAGAGAGCACCTGCACCTGTCCTTGAAGAGTCTACTGCTCTTGGAGGAATGAATACAGTGACTTTGACAACTTGTGTCCCATGCTGTGTTTGTCTCCTGAAACAGAATTGCAGCTGTGGAAAGTTGGAGGAAATAGGTGAACAGTTGCCAGAGGAGTTAAATGATATCAAGTAGTGTGTGGTTCATGGGAGAAGACTCCCTGCAGAGAGGGTTGGGTTGACTGCTGTTCGTGTGGGACAAGCCTCAGTACCTGAGAAACAAGGGCAAGTAGGTGCTCTCTTCATGCTCACTGCCTGCAGTTTTTCACCCCCATACCTGGAGGACATCATGCTGTGTTTCAAATGTGTGCAAAGAAATAAAATATTGAGGAATGAGATTACAACGCCAGGAAAAAGGTCCCAGCTATGATTAATTAATGATGAACAAAGGATGACAATCAACTCCACATTACCACTGATAGCTTAACATCCATGCATCCATTTATGCATACAAGAACTGGGGTATAGTCCAGAGGAGTAGGGGTGAGGAAGAGTGAGGGATTCACCAGAGACAGGGTGGGGAGCAGAACAGACAGAGCTACTGAAATACACTGGTGAGGGGAGCAGCAGGCGAGACAGGAGAGGTCTGATGTGCCATATGTGGATTAGCTCCTTGGCTGGGATCAACTCATGCCACAGTGGCTGGTAATAGCTTGATAGCGCTTAGACTTTAACTCCTGTGCCACCAGGGAGGCCCTGTACTTTATTTTAAAGAAAAGGCTAATACTAACTGGTTCTTTCATTTCATTGAGGACCTTCTATTGGCCAGTCTCTGTTGCAGGGCCTGTGGATATATTAGCAAAGAAAAAACAAATCACTGTGTTCTGTAAAAATAAAGTAGGAAAGGAGATATAAAATTTTGGGGAGGAGATAGTTGAAATAAAGAGCCCTGGAAGACTTTATTGAGACCACGACCTCTAAGTAAAGATCTGAAAGCAGTGAGAGAATGAGCAATTTGACCATCTGGTGAAGAGTATTCCAGGCAAAAGGAATTCCAGAAAGTATTCCAGATAAAAGCCCTAAGGCAGGAACGTGCTAATATGTCACAGTACAGCAAGGACACTAATGTGCCTGGTGTAGAGATAGCTGTGGTAGAGGTCATAATGTAACAGGTGGTCCCCAGGAAAGGGGGAGGTTCCAGATTCCCTGCCCCACCCAAATGGAGGGTGGAGCTGAGCAGGGAGAGAAGAAGCTGCAGAGGAGACTGAGGAAGGAAGCAGGATGGAACCAGAAGGAGATCTGGAGGAGGTGCATGGAGCCTAGAGATACATGAAGAAACTGCGCTTGTCTTTTGGTCGTGGACTGGGTGACACAGATGTGGGTGAGACCAGTGGGGAGGTGACAATGGCAGCTTTTATCTTGATTTTGATTTTGCTCTTTTCCTTCTGGGCTTGTCTGGTTGTTTCTGACCCTTTTCCTTGGGTCCCCACTGGAAGATGCTTTAGACTTGTGGCAGGCTTTGGGGCCTTGCTCCGGGCCAATCCCATTTGGATGGAGTTTTACCCACGAGGGGACGGGTAACATTGGGTGCTTGATTTAAAAACTATATTCTTTGCCTTTTCTGTATTGTTTCCTAATTGTATTGAAGTTCCTTCCCATTAAAGTCTCATATGCTTTGTGTTGATGCGGCAGATGGAAGAACCCATTTAGAATAGGCAGGTTTGCGGGGTTTGGGCTGCCCCTCTCCCTGCCCTGTAATAATAAGAAGCAAAATAAAAGATGAGATTGGAAGGTCGGGAGAAAGGTAGTAGTCAGATCAGGATGTGACTTTCAGGTGTGTCTCATAGGAATCACTTTGCCTTTTTTTCTGAGTGAGATTGGAGACTATTGCCATTGTCATCATCAACATACTGTTATTTTAAGTGTTGTTTATGCTTGAAAATATCAATTACTAAAATACAAGGAATTTTAAAATAAAAAAAGAACCCTTTTAAGATTGTTTTGAAAGTGATCCCCATTTATTGTAGCAAAATGAAAATTAGTATTTTTAAATACATTTAAAAATTTTTTAAAGATTTATTTATTTATGCATACAAGAGCTGGGGTGCAGACCAGAAGTGTTGGGGGTAAGAGGATTCACCAGAGACAGAGTGGGGAACAGAACAGGCAGATTGACTGAAATACACTGCTGAGGGGAGCAGTGGGCGAGTCAGGAGAGGTCTGCTGCGCCATGTGGGTTCCTGCCTGGCCAGGGATCAAACTCATGCTGCAGTGGCTGCGGATAACTTCATAGGTTGCATCTTAACCCTTTACACCACCAGGGAGGCCCAAAAATTAGTTTTTATACTGAGTTGTACATGTAATTTTATTTGAAGTGAATATCTTGATTCAATTAAATCTAGTTCCATGTAGCTTTTCCTTTGGCATCATGAGAATCACTGTGAGGTTATAATACTTAGGCAAGTAATTGTGCTGTTTGTAGTTGTTTCACAGTCAAATAAATGCTCATAAACTATTCTTTGTATGTTACAAGTATTTTTAAGGATGTGGCTCTTCCAGGGGATACCCAAGTGCCTGTGTTTTTAGAGAACTGACTTCTATAGATTTAGGTTTTGTGAAATGTAATTTCTTTTAGTGGTTTTCTTTGCTGTGAATTTATTCAAAAGGAAATATTACTGACTTATTTGCTTTCTCCAGAAAAAGTTATTTTAAAGCTAATTATGACCTGAAACTTTATGATAAGCTATATCTTTTTGTGAGCAGAACTGAAACGTTTGCTTTTCTCTCCTTGACACACTCAGAATATGAAAACTTTTAGTAAGTACTGTTTCTCATGGAAATGTGCTTGCATAAATCCAAGATTTTTTTTTCCTTCCCGAAACAGATGGTTGGAAACATGGTTGTATTACTGAAGTTTTAATTGAAATGTCATATTTGAGTGTAGACCACTTTCAGCATCCAGATTGATCTCACAAAGCTGACATGAGAAAGCAGTCTGATACCTTCCTTATATGGATCCAGGTCTGTCAGAAAGGATAAAGACAGCCACCTCTTGGCAAAACCCAGAAAGCCTAAGACATTTTGGGGACATTAAAGAGAAGAACTTACCCAAAGACATAGGTATCATAGGCCAAGTCTGATCATGAAATCTTACTTTGACATGACTCCCAACCCCTGAAAGAGTGGCTGCTATGAGCCAGTATTTTATTATTTTTAAAGATTTATTTATTTATGCATATAAGAGCTGGGGTACAGGCCATAGGTGTGGGAGGTGAGAGGATTCACCAGAGATAGAGTGGGGAACAGAACAGGCACATTGAAATATACACTGCTGAGGGGAGCAGAACACGAGTCAGGAGAGGTCTGCTATGCCATGTGGGCAGCTCCCTGATATGGGAACGAACCTGAACATGTGTTGCAGAGGCTGTGGACAGCTTCACAGTGCTGCATCTTCACCCCTGCACTACCAGGGAGGTCCTGAGCCAGTATTTTAATAAAGTCAAGGATGGCGTGCAAGGGTAAAAAGCAACCTAAAAATCCTGATCAAAAGTTCCGAGAAAGCACATCAAAATAATTAATAAACTTATTTTTGTTCTTACTGTGTTTATGCAAAAAACCAAACCAAACCAAACAAAAAACTGACCAAGTTTATTGGAACTAGACTTAAATTACAAATGAATTAATTTTACAAATTTTTTGGGTAGAACTGGGGTGAAGATGGAGAGAACAATATGTTTAGTAACATATTTTTATAGGCATCAGATTCTAGTCCATTTAATCATTTTTGAGATTTTTGCTTTCTGTGTATAAACTTGACTAAATCCTGAATTTTTCTAACATTTCCAAACTGAATTTTCCTAACTAACTTACCAAATTATCACTGCCAGTTTTTTTCTCCCAATCCTTTTGATTTCTATTGGTTAAAATCCTGACTTTTTCTGAAACCACAGAAGTTAGAAATGGAGAACATGGTATCAACTTTAGAAATATCACCACAATGGCTATGCATGGACAATCCTAAATAATACTGCTATTTTCCTAAATACCTAATAACATCATCTGCAAATGGAGAAGCCATCACCTGCCTTTATCCCATTTGAAGATGCCTCAAACCTCACATCTAGAAAGGTTCTCAACTGGCTTCTCTCAGGACTCACAACTGGACTTGTGGTTTGCTCTTATTTTTAACTTTTGTTTTTCTTTTATTTCCATAGAAATGCCTCTTATTGCTTGCACAATATAGGTTGAACTATTGTATTACCTCCAGAATTTGGTCACAACTATTTAATTGGATTAATCTTTTCCTAGAACTAAGAAGCTGGTTCTTTTCAATAATTGAAGAGCTCAAGGTAGGACAGTAGAAGAACCAATATCTGCCACCTCAAAATATGTGTATGGCGAAAGGTTGATTTAATGGCAGGAACTTTGAAATGTGGGTGAAGGCTACGTTAAAAAAAAGACATTTATATGTAATCTGCTTTCTGTAAGCGTTCTCCCTCATGGTACTGGAAAAACTTAGTCTTCTTTTAAAGGAAAAGGCAGAACTGTACCTTCCCTTATTCTCCCTTATCCCCCAAACTCCCTTGTCTTAATTAAGCTATTTAAGATGGAATCTGAAGTTATGAGGCAAGTTACTCAGTTTTGCTGGGTCTCTCCCATGTATAATGGAGGTATACATGCTATTATTAAATTTCTTTTTGACTTTTTCTCTTATCAATATGTCTGCTGCTTGTTTGACTATTTGCCAGTCCGGAAGAACTATGACTGGTATGAGATACTTTCCCTTGTGCCCCAACACCTGTAATGGGAATATTCATTCTAAATGTAGAGATAAGAGACTGCAGCAAAATCAGTAAGTCTGATAGCAAATAAGATTGAAACTTCAGAACATTAAAAAACATTATAAAAAGTTGAACTTCAAAATCAAATTGCAACAAATATGACAGACATGAAATTATATACGATGAATTCTTATAAATCAATAAAAGATCATTTAAGTAAAAAATTAACTGAAAATGGTGGAAAAATAATTCACAAAAGAAACAAAACTCACCAAAAATGCATGTAAGCCAATCACTGCAGATTCAAACTACAACATGTCATTTTTGCTGTGATCTAATAATTATGCTTCTACTGTTACAGATATACCTTTGTGAAAGGGGAAGGAGCAAAGAACAGGCTCTATTCCCCCCACTCTCACTTACTGAAGGCACCTTGGCTTAAAAGTCCCAGTATGCCATGAACCAGATTTCCTGAATGAGGACAGCTGGGAAGGAGTGAGGTGAATATATAGAGGCGGAACACACATGAGGAGACTCTTGGAGGAGACACATGGAGAAGAGACAGGTAGAGACACTTGGAAAAGAAATTTGGAAGACACATGTGGATGAGAAACATGTCGGAAGGCTGCTCCTGTTCTTTGACAGTGACAATGGCAGGCATTATCTTGACTTCATGTTGGATTATATAGTACATCTTGAATTTTGAGTCTCACCTTTTGTCCCAGCTCTCGGTGATCACTAACCAGAAGGTATCTTAGACTTGTGGCAAGCTTTCAGGTCTCAGTTTCCCCACTTCAGTCTGGGCATGTTTGGCTGGGCATTAGCCCACTAGGGAATGGGGAATTTTGGGGTTTTATTGGAAAACTATTATTTAAAATCTCTCTCTCTCTCTCTCTCTCTCTCTCTCTCTCTCTCTCTCTCCACACTAATTCTATTACAAATCTTTCACACTACCAGTCTGCTTCCTTTGCCTTTATGCAAAGTCTATGGATGGCAAAATTCACTTCTAGAGCATGTACCCTTTAACAGTTTGGGATCCCCTGGTATTCCTCATCATGCACTAACACTATGACCCTATTCCAAATAATCAGAAAGACAAACAAATAGATACGTTCAAGGATGAGCTCGGTAGCAATATTTATGAAAACAATCTAAAATACTCATAATAGAGATAGGCTTAAATAAAATATGGAACAATCATATCATGGAATATTTTACAGTTTTCCAAAAGCAAGTACTTGAATAATACTCAATATGGGAAAATGCTAAAATCATGAAGTTTAAAGTTAAAAAAATATATATAAAGCTGAACACAGATTAGGATTCCAAAAATTCCAATACAATTATTTTTAGAGACATATATGCATGTATCACAAATCAAAAACTGACTAAGAAAAATATGTTAACACTTGTTATTTTTATGTAATGGGATTATGAGAGATTTTATTTTCTCATTCAAAGTTTTCTATATTCTCCAATTTTCCCAACATTATCAGGTATTGCTTTCACATTTAGAAAAATAATAAATAAATGTTAATAAAAATATAAAAGATAAAAAGGTGTCCCAAAAGATACAAACATAAGCCCAGAACGTCCTGTTTTTTGTTTTTGTTTTTGTTTTATAAATGACTAAATCTTCCTGCTATGAAGTTTTTATTTCCAGTAGAAGTAGAATTTGTACTTTTTCCTTGACTGGATTTGCCAAGAGGATCCACTGCAACATATTTGATTAGGAAACCTCCTGCTGTCACTGAAGCATCGCTCAGAAACTTCAAGGTCATGACATTTCCTGGGGAGGGGAAGGGTGTAAAAGAACAAAGATGTTACTTTCCTTCAATTTGGCTGACAACTCAAAACCTCATCATCCTCATAGGAAAATATAAGATTTCAGTGAAAAAAATGCTCCCGAAATCCAGAACTGAATTCTCAAGCTGCATAGACTGTGGTTTCATTGCCAGTGGATCAGGGTGAGAGACTTAGATTTTTGACTCTGGCTCTCCAGTATGTCCTACAGGAAATTTTGTTCTGTTTCCATAGAACAATTTTGTTCTGTTTCTATTCTTTATATAGAAGGCACGGCCATAGAATTTCTGGAAAATGGCAGGCAGTTCAACTGAGTGAAGTATGGATGGGTAATTTATTAAATGATGGAAGTATATATATATATATATATATATATTATTATTATTTATTTATTTATTTTTTGGTGGGACCCTCGCTGGCGGCTGGGGAACGAACTGGCACTGCAGAGGCTGCCGCAGCCTCACAGCCCAGCGCTCAATCGCTGCGCCACCAGGGGAGGCCCTAAATGATGGAAGTATAACAAGTTTTGTATTTGTAAGAAACAAAGCCAACAACTAGATCCCCACTTTACACATTGTATCTAATTATATTTCATCTGCATTAAAGATGCTAAAAATAAAAAGGAAAAATGTTAATACATATAATAAAATATGAAGATATTTTATTCTTTTTCAGAAAGGGAAGACCTCAATGTAGATTCCAAGTCCAGAATTCATTTAAAAAAAAGCACCCATACATATTGAATGCCAATGTTTACCAAGCACATCTTTAAGTGCATTTCTTCTATTAACTCATTATTTCCTCACAGCAACACTATGAGATGGATACTATTAGAACATTCATTTTACAGATGAAACTGTGCCACAGAGAGCCAAATTAACTTGCTGAAGCCCACATTGCTAAAATGGCAGGTGAGGTTTGACCTGCACAATTTGACCCCAGAGTTCGTACTTTGACCCACTGTACTTTTCTCAGCACTGAAAGAGGTGCTGAAATTAAAAAAAAATTTTTTTTGCATGATAGGAGAAATCAAAGTTGAAGAGCAAGAGACAGACCAAAAGAAAAGAGTAATATCTCTAACATACAAAAAGCTGGTAGAAATAAAAAAGAAAGAGACAACAACTCTAAAGAAGAATGTGCAAGTGGGCCTCCCCGGTGGCGCAGCGGTTGAGCGCTGGGTTGCAAAGCTGCCCACAGCCTCTGCAGCACTGGTTCGATCCCCGGCTGCTCCCCGGCCACCGGAGGAGGGGCCCACATGGCGCACAGACCTCTCCTGCCGCCTGCTGCTCCCCTCAGCAGTGTACTTCGGTCCTTCTGCCTGCTCTGCTCCCCACTCTGGCTCTGGTGAATCCTCTCACCCTCCTGGGCTTCTGACTGTACCCAGTGCTTGTATAAATAAATAAATAAATAAATAAATCTTTAAAAAAAAAAGAAGAATGTGCAAGTAATAAAAATAGGTAATTCACAGGTAATTCACAATGAATGTATAGAATGCAAACTGGTGCTGGAAGACTAGCAGTAATTTGTCAGTATCTTCTGACATTTAAAATGCACCTCACCTATGACCCCAAAATTTCACTTTTAGGAATCAACTCTAATAAAGAAAAAATAGTTTTATTACATAAAGGTAGGTAGTTTAAAAATGTCTGATGAAACACTGCATAGCAAAAGAAAAAAATCAGCAACAACCATCTTCAGGATGTTAAATATTTGTTCATGACATTATGGTATGTCTATACAATCACCTACTAGGAAGTCATTAAAAAGAATTGAAATTATCCAAATACTCTGCCTTAGAAATATGGCCATGTATCCTTGTAATACATATAATGTTTGCATGCGATAGGAAAAGCGCCTGGAAGTAAGTTCACTACACAGTTGTCCAGTGCCTTTCTGGGTTGGTGGGGGGAGATGAGGAGAATGGGCATGTTCTTGCTTTTAATTTCATGAAAATGGAGAATTATAGGTAGTTTTAAATTTATTTGTTTTGTTCTTGCTTTTTAGTATAAATATCCTGGGGTGAGTAAGCACATATTTAAGAAAATGAGGTCAAAGTGTTAATAGTATCATGCCTGCTGTTAAGATTATGTACAAACAGTATTTTATATCTTCTTTTTCTATTCCTTTGTAGCAACTTCCTCTTCTTGCTGTTTTGCCAAATCATGGGTTGTTTTCTTTTTGTTGTTGTTGTTTAACTATGTTCTTTTCCTTTTTTTTTTTTAAGATTTATTTATGCATATAAGAATGGGTACAGGCCATGGGTGTGGGAGGTGAGAGGACTCAACAGAGACAGAGTGAGGAGCAGAACAGGCAGACTGACTTAAATGCACTGCTGAGGGGAGCAGCAGGTTGGGCAGGAGAGGTCTGCTGTACCATCTTGGTAGCTCCCTAGCCTGCTAGGGATCAAACTCATGCAACAGAGGCTGCGGCTAGCTTCAGAGTGCCGAGCTTAACTCCTTGTGCCACCAGGGAGGCTCTGTGTTCTTTTCCTATGTTTATTTATTTCTCTTTAAATAATAAACTGTGTGGTTTCTCTTAGTTTCTTGTAGTTGTAAGAAAAACATTGATTTGACTATGCTTGTGGTAAGTCTTGTCTGTTTTAGACAATAGAAGAAAAATACTAAGTTTCAGGCTACCTTTTTGACTTTTCCTCTGTTTTTTGTTTTTTTTTTTCCCTATCAGGTTCTCATCCCTCAACTGCAATCCTATAGCTCACAAAAGTTCTTTCATCTTTCTGACAACTTGAAATAAGTTTTCAAGAAAGGAATAAAAGATAAAATCTCTCTCTTCCTAGGAAGATTGCAACAGAGTAATGAGTTATTACATCTCAAGCATTAATCACTCAAGGATTGAACAAGAAGTCCCACCTATCTCTTGGAATTATGATGCATAAATGAAATGTGAGTGCACTACAAGGCTAGAGTGTAGGAGTAATCAGTTTAGGATTGCTTAGACATTGCAACTCATTGCCTTATTTTTAGTTGTAGAAGCATCTACAATTTTATGACTTGAAGGGAAAATAAAGCAAGTAAGAATGTCAAATATTAGTGTTGGTGTTGGAAATAAAAAGAAGAAATGATGACATCTAAGAAAGTGAAGGTTCTTAGCCAGAAAGTAGCAGTGGGGGCAATAACAGGGGTATTGCTTGTTAAGATAAATTTATGTTACTTATAAGGACATTTCTTGAGGCACTTCATGGAACAGTCACAAAAAAGTAATGTGTGTGTGTGTGAGAGATTTGGAAAAAGTTTCCTATTGTAGCTATTCTTTTGAGCTCTACTACGTATAATTAGCATACTAAAAGCTCTCTAATATCTTTCAATAAAGAAACCTATTTAACATCTTTAACCCAATTTTCCCAAATTTATTTGACCTTAAAGCCCTTTTTTCATCTAACACCTTTAAAAAACATCTCACAGAGCTAGGTTCTTCACATTTCTTTCTGGGGAGTGCTGCACTAAGATTAAAAATGCAATGAGGGGCCTCCCCGGTGGCGCAGCGGTAGAGCGCTGGGTTGCGAAGCTGCCCGCGGCCTCTGCAGCGCCGGTTCGATCCCCGGCTGCTCCCCGGCCACCAGAGGAGGGTCCCACATGGCGCGCAGACCTCTCCTGCTGCCCGCTGCTCCCCTCAGCAGTGTACTTCGGTCCCTCTGCCTGCTCTGCTCCCCGCTCTGGCTCTGGTGAATTCTCTCACCCTCCCGCACTTCTGACTGTACCCAGTGCATGTATAAACAAAACAAACAAACAAGCAAACAAACAAATAAAGAAAAAAACATGCCTCTATAAAAAAAAAAAATGCAATGAGTATGATGAAAACATTTTTTTCAGGGACAGCCTTATTTTTAACACTTTTATAATTTACTTCATTAACAACAAAATTCTGGCCTTTCAATACCACATGTTATGGAAGTCAGAGTTTACAGTAATATTCACGGATTTTCAGATTCAAGACAATTGCAGGCTTGATACCTGAATTAATGAGTCTCTGCGTATTTAGCACAAAGATTTGGAGCAAGTCTTAAGTATATATAAATACTACGTATTTTACCAGGTAACGAGCTACATCTGTCCTCATTTCTCTCCACTTTCAAGGAGTAAATAGTAATAACTGTTGGTCCTTCACTTTCACTGACACAATGAGAAAACAAATCATTATTTTGTTCCTTAATTTAGGGCCATTACCTGTACTAATGATGTCTTCTGGAAGTTCATCTCCACAGTACCTGAAAAACAGAATTTTTTTAAAATGAGAGGTCACATGAAAGAATATTATACACCCACTGCAAGTAGTTCTCATTGACAAGTAAGGAGCTTTGCTCCCCTAATGACTCATTTTTCTATTATTTTAAAACTTATTCTTTTTTAAAACTTGAGTTTGTAATGGAGAAGAAATGTTAAAACTAAGTTTGTCAATATATTAATGAGATTTTAGAGAAAGGATATGTGACTTACAAAATTTATTTTGGTCATAGGTACTTTGAAATTGGAAAATTAAAGATTTCTTTCTGAGAAACCTCATAAAATTTTCTTCACTGCTGAAGAATGAGTGTGTGGTTGGTATTAGTATTTTGAATTCTAGAGTAGAGTGATTTATTTTTTATTTTTTAAAGATTTATTTATTTATGCATACAAGAGCTGGGGTACAGGCCAGAGATGTAGGGGGTGAGAGGATCCACCAGAGACAGAGCTGGGAACAGAACAGGCAGACTGAACTGAAATACACTGCTGAGGGGAGCAGTGGGAGATACAGGAGAGGTCTGCCTCGCCATGTGGGTTTCTCCCTGGACCGTCAGGGATTGAACTCGTGCTGTAGAGGCTGTGGATTGCTTCATAGTGAGGTGCTTAACCCCTTGTGCCACCAGGGAGGCCCTAGAGTAGATTGATTTAGACATGAAAAAGCATGTTTGATTTTTATGTGAATTGTGACTTTTTGTCAGTTTTGGAAAATATGATTTATTCAAGAGGAGGGAAAGACTTTACAAAGTAAATCACTAAATATTTACCCAATAAATAGCAAACTAGCCTGTTGAAATAGTGTATGATTTTATATAGGGTTCTACTTGATTTCTAGAACTAGGCTTAGAATAAAAATGTCCATCACAAGTCTCAAAATAGGAGATTTATTTTTCAAAATATACTTTTTAAAAAAAATTTCAACCACATTTCATGTCATCCTCAAACTTTTTTTAAAAATATAATTATTTCTATAGCAGTAGGCTGTTAGGCAAAGTACACAACAAAAAAACATTTTCCCACCAAAATTTGTTTATTTTTATGAGAAGTGCCTTTGGTTTTCTTTGTGTTTGAATCATACATTTCAAAATCAACAAAAAGTTATTGAGTCTATAATTAATAATTTTCACCACCATTTTCTTTCATTAAAGTATTGTTATAGATAATAGAGAAATAACAACTGATAGTTCATTGATAATGGGTAGTCTAAAATATGCATTATTGGGCCTCCCTTGTGGCGTAAGGGGTTCACAGCACTATGAAGTAATCCACAGCCTCTGCAGCACAAGTTTGTTCCCCAGGGGGCTAGGGAGCTACCCACAAGGTGCAGCAGACCTCTCCTGTCTCGCCAAATGTTCCCCTCAGCAATGTATTTCAGTCAGTCTACCTGTTCTGTTCCCCACTTTGTCTCTGGTAAATCCTCTCACACACACACCCACCCCGCACCTCTGGCCTGTACCCCAGCTCTTGTATGCATAAATAGATAAATCTTTAAAAATATGCATTATTAAGTGGGGACTTGAATATATAAAATGCTTAATTTTTTTTTAAAGATTTATTTTTATACAAGAACAGGGTACAGGCCAGATGCGCGAGGGGGTGAGAGGATTTATGCACACAAGAACTGGGGTACAGGCCAGAGGTGTGGGGGAGTGAGAGGATTCACCAGAGACAGAGTGGAGAGCAGAACAGGCAGACTGACTGAGATACACTGCTGAGGGGAGCAGCGGGCAAGTCAGAAGAGTTCTGCTGTGCCATGTGGGTCTCCTCACTGGCTGGGGATCGAACTTGTGCAGCAGTGGCTGCGGATAGCTTTATAGGCTGCGTTTTAACCCCTCACTCTACCAGGGATGCTCTGACTTTTTAATTCTTTTAAGATTTATTTTTTATTTATACAATAGCTGGGGTACAGGCGAGAGGCGGGGAGGGTGAGAGGATTCACCAGAGACAGAGTGGGGAGCAGAACAGGTGACAGGAGAGGTCTGCAGCGCCAGGTGGGACCCGCGCAATGTGGGACCCTCACCGGCCGGCTGGGATTGAACCGACGCTGCAGAGGCTGCTGATAGCTTCACAGCGCTGTGCTCAACCCACTGTGCCACTGCAGAAGCCCTGACTTTTTAGTTCTTACAATAAAAAATAGCTGAAGGTGTTCAGATAGACCTCCTCAGGATGATCAGAAAAGCTTTTTTTTTTTCAATAAAAGTCACCTTCCCTGTGGAACTAAGGTCAACTGAAGTCCCACTGGCTTCAAGAGAAACTGTTATCATTATATAAACTACCTAAAAGAACTAAGCAGATTTAGGGTCATTGCCAGTATATAAATTTTCCAGAAAAACCTATCTTATGGCATGGCAAACTTGTAGAGCATCTGGTTTTGTCACATGAATCACCCTCTCCTTATCTAGTGAGACCCCTCCTCTCTCTCTTTGTCACCACAAGTCCCTTTCCCATTTATTAGCTTGAGAATAAAAGCCTTGGTTCATCCTGTTTACTCTAGAATTTACCTATTTTAATTCGTCATACATATGTAATTAAATTGTTCTTTTTTCTCCTGGTAACCTGATGTTAATATGTTTGCTTGACTACCCCAAGAAGAACCTAGAAGGGGAAATTAATGTTATTCCCCTTTATAACTATGACTATTTTAATGATAAGAACATGTGGCAATTGATTATGGCTTAGAATCCTAAGAAAAATCTTTGTTAAAAAAGGATGTGGTGTTGCAGAAGAGTAGAAATACCACAAAAACAATATTTTTGTTTGAGAAAAATTAAACATCAAACAAAATAATAGATGTTCATTTAACTCATTTATAAAGAAATGACACATACCTTCCCACAAAGCCATGGACGTCATCATAACTGTCATATATTTCAACATAGTCAGCCAAACAAGCTGGGTCATCTTCAAGATCAAAGTTCAGAAAACTCAGATGAATGCGCTGACCATACTTGAGTCTAATATGCCAGTAGCAGACTTGGTTATCATCATACTCCTTCGGAAAGCCTGGAGATTTAAACAATCGCTTTGGCTCAGTGAACACACCCCCACACTCCTTTGCTGAAATGGAAAACAAAAAAAGATAAGAAAACATTAGAAAAAAAATATTTGTGCCTTAAAATGATAGTCACTCCTTAGCGTCCATATATTTAATATTTTTAAAAATGAAATAGAGAAATGCCTTAATCTATGACATTCATAGTTTATTATGTATACTTGTAGCTAAAGAATAAATGTACTTTGTCATCAAAAGTTGCTAACTTCTCTAAAATGAACATAAATTATTTGGGATTTTTTTTTTTTTTAAAAAAGGAAAATAGCAAGAACAAATCACTATACCCCTGTTTCACATTTTTTGGCTTCTTTTAAAAATAGAATATACAAACTTTTATGGGTATATCAGTAAGTGTTTGACAAATACATATACTTATTTTATCAGCAGCTTAATCAGGAATTGAGTTAGAATTCTGTCCTGTGGTGTCATCACTATGTCTGCAGTGACTCAAACACTTACAATAATGAGTCCAATAAATTGCATTTGGAAAATATAGAATTTCAGGATTGTAAGGATCTTAAAGGTCACTCTAGTCCAGTTAAAAGGATAATTTATAGTCATTTTGCACTCCTTTTACTGGCTTTATTTTTATTTATTTATTTTTTTATGCATACAAGAGCTGGGGCAACAGGCCTAAGGTGTGGGGGGGTGAGAGGATTCACCGGAGACAGAAAGGAGAGCAGAACAGGCAAACTGACTGAAATACACTGCTGAGGGGAGCAGTGGGCGAGACAGGAGAGGTCTGCTGCACCATGTGGGTTGCTCGCTGGCCGCCAGGGATGGAGCTTGTGCTGCAGAGGCTGTGGATTGCTTCATAGCGCAGTGCTTAACCCCTTGTGCCACCAGGGAGGCCCCTTTTACAGGTTTTAAATTAACACCTTAATCTTAATATTATAGGATTTGGTGGAGATTTCATGCTTGTTTTTTTCAAATCATCTGTCACTTTACAGATTTTATATATAACCTGTTATAAGAATAAAAAAACACCCTCTGCTAGAAGCAGTGATGTTATAGTATGATCTAGAATGAAAGCTATGGAGAGACTCTAGTTAATTTTAATTCATTACCAAATAAATGTCTAGTGTCTTGGAAAAAGGGGCAACTTGGAAATTCATATGCAATCTGAATGATGGTAGTAATGATGAGTCTGAGTAGCATTCAAACATAGTTTTCATTATATCAATTAGAAGGTTTTACGAGAATATTCTCCTTTAAAATAACCATTTTTAAAAAATTATGTTAGAATCCTTAATGCCACAGCAATTAAGAAAGTTTTTCTCTCTGGTGTAGATCAGGAACTTAGGAAGGTTGGAAAGTAACAGAAGGTCAGGTATCTAGTCACAGCTTTATGATCACACTCTGTCTCAGATTTTTCATTGTTAAAATAAATATAATCATGCTTCGCTTACTATCTACTTCATGTGATTACTCTGAGGGATAAAATATAGAAGATAAGGGTGTTAAAAAAATGGAAACTGCTCCTCTACAATTAAATATTATCTAACAGACAATTTATATATGTACATAAGCAGTACAGTGTTTATGTAGAAAGTTATACAATGCCTTTTAAAAAAATATTTATTTATGCATACAAGAGCTGGGGTGCAGGCCAGAGATGAGGGGTTGAGAGGATTCATTAGAGACAGAGTGGGGGGCAGAACAGGCAAATGTACTGAAATATACTGCTGAGGGGAGCAACGGGTGAAACAGGAGAGGTATGTTGCGCCATGTGGGTAAGCTCCCTGGCGGGGAATTGAACTCGTGCTGCAGTGGGTACAGATAGCTTCACAGTGCTGCATCATAACCCCTTGTGCCGCCAGGGAGGTCCCTACAGTGCCATTTTTTGAAGTGACTTGCTATGTCCCATAAAGCCTATCTTTGTTGTATATATCATCAGATTAGAGAAAAAAATTTAAATATTAATTTAGTTATATATTTAGCTATATCTATTCAGCTATTTTATATTATATATAGCTATCAACTCATCTCTTTCTTATTTAGGAAATGACAGATTCAGAGTTGATTGAGTCCTTGAAGACTGTTACTTAGTTAAAAAGTTATTAATATAAAATCAGTTAACATCATGTCATCCACTCAGAGCTTGAATCAGCAAGTTTTCTTTAAACACTTCTTTTTTTTTTTTTTGAAAGATTTATTTATTTATTTATTTATGCATACAAGAGCTGGGGTGTAAGCCAAAGATGCAGAGAGGTGAGAGGATTCACCAGAGACAGAGTGGGGAGCAGAACAGGCAGAAAGACTGAAATATACTGCTGAGGAGAGCAGGGAGTAAGACAGGAGAGGTCTGCTGTGCCATGTGGGTTAGCTACCTGGGTGGGAATTGAACTCCCGCTGCAGTGGCTGCAGATAGCTTCATGGTGCTGAGACTGAACCTCTTGGGCCACCAGGGAGACCCTAAACACTTTTTATGACCCTATTCTTTACTTCAATCAGACCTAACTTGTGATATTGCTTAATTAATAGTGATTGCTCTATTTTCTAATGCTGTTAAGATTTTTTCATTCCAATTGCTTTCAATGAACTTACCTTAATGCTAGTTTAGACCCCTTCACGTTAACTACATTCTAAATAATCAGCATATCACTAAATCTGAAAGAAAGCTAAATATACTGAGAAATGAGCAAAAGCAAGTCTAGGATTCTGTACACATATACCCAGAGTTAAAATTTCAGCCTCTATGAGAGACAAAACAGCTTATAATTATGAATAAGTTAAAGCAGAATTTGTATAAAAGGACAATGAAATACTGTTAGAACCTTTCCATTAGCACTTCATCTTCCCTAGACTTTGACCTATGAAAATGATCAAATAGGAGCTCAGATATCCTAAAGTTTAGTGAGCAAAAGAAGAATCAGAGGATAGGATAATCTTTAATCCCTGGTGGCACAGGGGTGGAAGACTCAGTGCTATCAAACTATTGCCGCCACTGCAACATGAGTTCTATCTCCGCCAGGGAAATAACACACATGGCACAGCAGACCTCTCCTGTCTTGCCCTCTGCTTGCCTCAGCAGTGTACTTCAGTAGATCTGCTTGTTCTGCTCCCCACTCTGTCTCTGGTGAATCCTCTCACCCCTCACACCTCTAGCCTGCACTGCAGCTCTTGTATGCATAAATAAATAAATAAATAAATCTTTTTTTAAAAAAAAAGAATCATAGGATATACTTGGAGATAAAAAATTACTTTTGAGAGTAAGAAAATCTGTCTGTATAATGAAGAAAAAGGAAGAGAGGATGAGAGGGAAAGAGGAAAAGAAGATATGTGAATTATTAACAATGACTGTAGTATAGGCTAAATAAGCTTAAAGTACATCAAAGTGATCTGAAAGTTAGGATCTCATATAAGTGCACTGTAAATATTTATTTCTATTTTGCCTTAAGTAGGACCAGCTGAGAGCTTTAGGCAAAATTCTTTTCTACTTGGAATACACGTTATTTTGAAATATAGGTAGTTACAAATATGAAAAATTTCTCCAATGATTAATGCATTGAATAATAAATAAATAAATAAAATGCTAAAACTTCACTCTAATCTACTGTATTATAGGCTTTCTTACAAGCTATATCCAAATGAACCACCACTTCAGGATGTTTATAATTATAAACGTGGGGGGGGTAAAATTTGGTAACACATTGTAACACTTCAGGACATTGGCCTGGGGTGGTGGTGGTGAGTCTATTTTTTCTCTAAGAATATGAACAAAGAATAACTTTATATTAATTACAATGAGTTAATTTTAATTTTTCTCTTTAAGTGTTTTTCTTGCAGTAGTCAACCATGGAAAAAGAATAGGAATAAAAATATACTCTATAATAATAACAACTGGTATATCTGGTATATAATTGTTAAAATAAACCATAGCATGAGTGTTGCTTAGTTTGGAAGTTTAACAATTTATGAACAAAAATAAATTATAGAAAGAGTTATTTAATTTTGCCTCATTTTCCCCCATTCTTTTGAAGGGGGTAATAGTTAACATTTGGTGGTATCTTTTTATTGTTTTAACTAATTAGCTGTGCCAAGTTTATAACCTCATTGTTTCCCTTTGTGGACAAGAAGTTATTTGGCACACTAAAATTGAGGATTATTTGAGAACTTGTGATGTCATCTGCCTACTATTTATTGACCGTCCGATCTTGGGTGAGTTACTTAAGCTCTTAAAGTTTCAGTTTCCTGATTTGTAAAATGGGTATAATAATACCCATTTGTAGAGCTGTGAATATTGACAGTTTAGATGATTATAACTCAGTGTTTGGCACAGCACAATTACTCTATGAACAGATTTATTGTTAATTATCATTATAAACTTGTCTTATCTCTAGAAGAAGCCATTTCTTTTTAACAACCTCTTAGTAACATGCAACTGTTTTTACAAAGCATAAAATTATTTCTAACAAACCATGTGGGTTGTAGCAATAGGCATCCCATCTTTCACTCCTATTGAGACGGACTCCATAATCAATAACACCAGTTTTTCCATATCCACAGTTGGGCCCTGGCTTTACAATGGGGTATCCAACTCTGCCCTTGGCCATCCACCCAGCAGCACAGACATGAAATCCTGAAAGAGAATGAAAGGGTTATAGGCTTGTGTGGTCATCTCCCTCATGTGGCAAAGGTCATCTTAACAAAAATGGCCCCTTCCAAACTGAGCAAATGCAGTTCACGTAAAAGGGGAAATAAGTTTTCTTAAAAAATAGATAAAATTTGAACACATATAAAATATGATGTCCTACTTGAAGAAAAAAAATGCAGATGAGCTAGAAATCAAACTGCTATGGATATGCAAGCACTCCCAGTTTAATGCTCACTTCTTTTCCCAAAATGGCCTATCTGGTGCCACGGTTTGATTTCTGAAATTGCCATCAATACTGAAAAAAGTTCTTCATATGACAGTTTAGCTAATTTCTATGTTAGAATCATTTAAAACATTGCTAATATTTTAAAAGATTTGAATAAGGCAAAAAGTACTTATAAATTTCAAATAGTTTCAACACTGTTTTCCTTGCTTGACTTCAGAGACTGATGTATTTGTGAATGTCAACGCCTTACAGATGGTTTTACTATAGCTAGAAAAGGCTCTGACTTATGTCTCCATCATTCCATCTACTGTGTCACACACAGTCCTACGGGTGTAAACTGAGCTGTCATCTGGGGAGACCTTGGAGCATTATAGAGAACACTGTTATTTTTGTCTTGGGTATTGTATTATAATAGTGTAAACTTTGCCAAGCATATTTCTATCAGCAAAGAGATTTCCTCAATAAAGAAGAGAATTCTAAATGGGAGTGGCTTTTCGGATTGTTCTGAAAGTCCAAGAGAGTTGATAGCACCCTACTTAGAAAAAGCAAATAGCACTAGTCAATTACTGTTTTTTTTCACCAGGTCTCCTGACATCATCTTCCCAATTATTTTTCTCCTGCTATCTTGCAAAAGGCATATCCTTCTATCTTCACAGTTTTTGATACTGAGATATAAATACATTATCTGACTTAATTCAAAAATAGGAAAAAATGGAAAAAAATGCCACTAAATGCATTATTTCCTTTACCAAGTAAATTTCCTTTTTTAAGACTCAATATAGTAACTTCAGGAAATTCATTCTCAGATGTCAACAAGAGATGTTATTAAAATTTAATAATAATAGTAAATTTAATACTAAAAAGGAATAGTAATGACGTTAAGATTAATGAGGAATTTAAATGATGTTGAGATAATGATGTGTTCAATTTCTTTTGCCTTTCGTCTTGTTAGTAATAGGAACTTACTTCCATTAGCGCTGAGGAGAGAACACTGGAGAAGTCCATGGGAGATGTTATGGGATGCTATGTATTAAACTACTAGAGAGAAAAGTCTTATGAAAAGGTTACAGGAAAGGCTGAATTTTTCTCCCAGGGTGAAAAAGAGAAAAAGTCATTGTCACATCAGTTACCTATTTTTCTGGCTGCCTCTAGCTGCTTATAGGTGGCGAGCCGACCTCCTTCATATTGACACACCGCCTTTGCTTCTGCGTAGGTGAGTTTGTATTTGCCAGACCGTGCTTCTCTGTGGTAAACGCCCGCTGCTTGTTCTGTGAATTAACAAATTATGGTAAATGCATTATTATCTAGTGTTGTGGAACAAGGGAAATTTTATGGCCTCAACTGGAAAATTACATCAACCGTTGTTCCTGCCAGAGGGTTTCCTGGATCTGCTTCCGTGGGTGGCTAAGTTTTCATTGTTAGAAAGCTTTTGAAAAAAAAAATATGAGGGGAATTTTAGGGGAAGTTGGGAACATAGTCTGAAAGGAGGCTAAAGTAGGTTTCTGAACTGACAACCTGAAAGAAAGTTTTAATAAAACATTGCATTTCTGTATTACCACAAGGTGACTTTTTTTTTTTTATACAGCAGCTCTCAAACTTCCCTTTTCAATGGACTACCAAAATAAGTTTTTTAAGGAGGCTTGTTTTAAGTCATAAAAAAGCTTGAAAAGATAAGCAGTAGGATAAAAAAAGGAAACGAAGTAAAAAAACAAACAAGCAAACAAAATTGACTGTTACCTAGGCTCAAAGTAATGGAGGAAAATAAACTAAAATATCCATTTGAAGGGAATGACTAATGTAATACAGTTGAGGACTTAGTAAACAAAGCAAAAACTGAAGGGAAGTTTGAAGGACTCCAAAGCAAAAAAATGCTATATCAAGAAAAAGAAAAATAAATTCAAACATAACCAAGAAAAAACTGGGCAAAACTACTAGTCCCAATATTCTTAATCTGATCTGTCTTTTTGATTTTACTGGTTGGCCCAACATATTTTAGGTAGTATGAAATCATATATGAGTTGTTTTCTGGTAGATAATTGTTTAAATTGGTTGCTTTGAGTTGGGTGTACATTTTGCTGTAGAAACAATGAGAAAAGATTGCCAGGACAATAATTATAGTGTTACTTCAACAGCTCAATGTAGACTATTAGATTAAGTCTTTGTACCCTGACCTATGCAACCAGTCACCATTAAGAGCTTTTCCAATGAGAACACTTAATTCCTTGCAGCAAGCAAAGTATAAATCCAGCAGCATTAGAAATCCATTCCTTGCTCTCCAAACCAAGCTGAAATTAACATTGCCACAATTTAATAAGAGATGCTGAGCCTCCCTGGTGGCTCAAGAGGTTAAGTGTCAGCACTATAAAGCTATCCCCAGCTACTGAGCATGACTTCGATCCCCGGCCAGGGAGCTGACCCACATGGTGCAGCAGACCATGCTGTCTTGCCTGCTGCTCCCCTCAGCAATGTATTTCAGTAGATCTGCCTGTTCTGTTCTCCACTTTGTCTCTGGTGAATGCTCTCACGCCCACACCTCTGGCCTACACCCCAGCTCTTGTATGCAAAAATAATTAAAATAAAACTTTTTTTTAAAAAAGAGATAGGCCTCCCCTGGTGGCGCAGGCAGTTAAGTGCCACACTGTGAAGCTGTCCGCAGCCTCTGTAGCGCTGGTTCGATCCCGGACGGCCGGCGAGGATCCCTCATGGTGCAGCAGACCTCTCCTGTCTCGCCCGCTGCTCCACTCAGCAGTGTATTTCATCAGTCTGCCTGTTCTGTTCCCCACTCTCTCTCTGGTGACTCCTCCCACCCTCCTGCACATCTGGCCTGTACCCCTGTTCTTGTATAAATAAATAAATCCTTAAAAAAATAAAAAATAAAAAAAGAGATGCTGCTTGGCACTTTTTCCTGTTTTTCTGGATTCTGAGAAATCCTGCTTTTATATATCTTATAGTTTAAGGTCACAAAGGACCCTGACCATGCTGATATTAATATCAGAAAACACAAGACCCATCAAAGTTATTTCCCCCTTTGAAAGTCACCTATCAGCCAAGTGTTCTTCATATGGTAAAGCCTCATAAACTAAGCTTTCACTAGTTTCCAATTTGGTTATTTTGAGACTATATAATGAGGTACTTTGTTAGGTGCTGTGGATCAGGTTCTGTTCTCAAGTTTAGACACAGGTGTGCAATAGAAATATCTTTATGTTAAAGTCCACGAGTACCAAGGTTTTTAGTAGAGAAGGAGACATGTTTAACATACTTCTATACTGTAATAGAGATTGTTAATTATTAAAAATGTTAAAATTATGTAGACTAAGATCTTTTAAAAAAGATTTATTTATTTATGCATACAAGAGCTGGGGTGCAGCCCAGAGGTGCAGGGGTGTGAGAGGATTCACTGGAGACAGAGTGGGGAACAGAACAGGCAGATCTGAAGTACACTGCTGAAGGGAGCAGGGGGCGAGACTAGGGAGGTCTGCTTGGCCATGTGGGTCACCTCCCTGGCCAGTGATCAAATCTGCTGCAGTGGCCAGAGATAGCTTCATAGTGTTGTGACTTTAACCCCTTGTGCCACCAGGGAGGCCCACCCTAAGAGATCTTTATTTGAAAAAGATTTTGTAGGAATAGTTTTCTTCCCAAGATTTCTCAAACTAAGATTTCTTTAGTATTTTACTCCAAAAATCAAAATATGGTGTTTGCAGGAAAAAAAATTAACAAAAAGACTAAAAACTAATTTTAAGTTTTCTTTTCAATAATTTTTCTTAAACTTATTGTACCTGTCAAACTTGTCTAGTAATAAAGTAACTTACATAGCAAAACTATATATGCATAAATTTTGACTTATTCAGTAAGGGTTATATTCCACATTGTTCTTGAAAGAGCACCAAATTTTTTAATATCTTGCCTTATGAATGAGTTGAGACTTTGGTATTTGACAAATTTTGATAGTCATTTATTTTAAATTATTCCCCAATTCAGAACTTGAAATTACTAAAATAGCCCTTTGTATTTTGAATCTAATTTTAAAAGTTTTATCTTTCAGATAAAATATAATTTGTTAATTTTTCTAGTCAATATTCATTTATTAAAACTGAGTACTTTTCATAGAAGGAAATATAGGCGAAACACTACGGGATTTGCACATCAAAGACATCTTTACAGACACATCACCCAAAGCAGTGATAGTGAAGACAAAGATAAACAGCTGGGACTACATCAAATTAAAGAGCTTCTGCACAGCAAAAGAGACAATAATAAAAACAAAGAGAAACCCCACCAACTGGGAGAACATTTTTGCACCCAACACTAATGATAAAGGACTGATCACAAAAATCTGCAAAGAGCTGATGAGACTCAGCAACAACAAAGAAAATAATCCAGTCAAAAAATGGGCAGAAGAGCTAAAAAGAAACTTCTCTGAAGAGGAAATGCAAATGGCCAACAGACATATGAAAAAATGTTCAACATCACTTGTCATCAGGGAAATGCAAATCAAAACTACCATGAAATACCATCTCACACCAGTGAGAATGGCACATATTAAAAAAACTAGCAACAACAAATGTTGGCGAGGGTGTGGAGAAAAAGGAACTCTTCTGCACTGTTGGTGGGAGTGCAAACTGGTCCAACCACTATGGAGAGCTGTGTGGAGATTTCTGGACCTACTAAACATAGAGCTTCCATATGATCCAGCAATTCCACTCCTAGGTATTTACCCAAAGGACACAGAAACATCAATTCCAAAGAGCACCTGCACCCCTATGTTTATAGCAGCACTGTTTACAATAGCTAAGCTTTGGAAACAACCCAAATGCCCAAAAATAGATGACTGGATCAAGAAGATGTGGTACATATATACCATGGAATATTACTCAGCATTCAAAAAAGATAAACACATGCAATTTGCAGCAACATGGATGGCACTGGAAGGGATCATGCTCAGCGAAATAAGCCAAAAAGAAAAAGAAAAATACCGGATGGTCTCACTCATAGCAGGAATCTAGAAAACTTAAATAAGGGACGAGGAAAATGAAAATAAGAAAGTGAAAATCAAAATCAACAAAAAAACTATGAACCAGAGACACTTTTTGGGGGTGGGGGGTGGGAGGGGAAGGATTGGGGTCAGAATGGGGCGTTTGCAATTGTATGGGGGAATATAAAAATAAAATTTAATATTAAAAAAAAATAAAATAAAATGCCATCATCAAAAAAAAAAACCTGAGTACTTTTTAAACCAAGAACTCTTTTTCTTTTAGCAAGTAGTAACTGTTGCTTTTGTCATAGACAAGTTGTAGATCTTGTATAAATCACTCCCTAAACCTCTGTTTACACATCTGTTAAGTGGGAATGATGATATTTATTTTTAGGAATAAATCATTAAATCCATAATCATAGCTTTCACATCCTAGCAGGAGCTCTTGATAAGATTCTCTTTCTCCCTTTTTTGGCTCCAATAATGTTTGAAAAGAATTTTTTATGAATTTTTTATTTTCATAATCCATATAAACTATAAATAGTTGAAGCCTCTTTTCCTTAACTGTCTTTGGTTAAAAAAAAAATTACTACTTAAGGAATTAGAGAATATCAGAGTTAAAAATAGACTTTAGGGGTCACCCATTTCAACTGTCTCATTTTACCAGAATGAAATAAGACCAAGAGTTTAAAGTACTTTGTTCTTGATACTTGCTGGAAGATTCCTGCCTTCTAAATCAACTCTCTCCTCCCTAGTTTCTAATACTATATTGACTGAACAAATTGTGAACAATTTTGCTAGGCTGACTGTTCAACAATTTGTCCCAGATTGAAGCAATTTGCATTAATCTCAAGCCTAAGATTTGCAGCATACTATTAACAAACATTTGGATTTGCTCCTACCTCGAGGACAGAACTTCTATTGTCCAGGTTTATGTTTCTGTGATATATAACTTCATTTAAAAAACAACTCTAACCATTAGAGGGTTTGGCGGCAATTCAAAGTTTATCCATATGGGTTTAATTCTTTTTTCATTTTTGACAAATATCTGTATATTTCCTAAATTCGATGGTGTGCAATAAAAATAAACAAAGAGACATTTTCATTCCTCTGGTGAATCCCAGAACCCATCTTGTGTTCACTAGCTCAAGAAAAAAAAAAAAAAACAGTAAGGCTGTGCATTGCAAGTTGAGGTTTTAATGAAATCCGCATGGCTGCAGTTATTACCAGAGAGAAACTCACTGAAAGGGGAAATATTCTGCAATTGTACGCTGCTTAGGAAGCATAAAACCAAGATCTATGTTAAATTTTGCTTTCTCTTTATTTTATACAAGAATCCAACAGTTTTTTTTCTTGAGCAATTACAATTTATTTCCACTATCAAATATGATAATGAACATAAAACAATAATAATTTATTATATATCATGAGAATTAAAGCATTGTTTAGAGAGCTATGCAGGGTGTTTGGCTTTTCTGTATTTGCCCTTTCTTGGCCTATTGTTTATATTCACAGTTAGCCTGCCTTACAATTAACAAAACAAAACAAGCAAAGAAACTTTCCTTGTCAAACAAAAAGGTTAGAAAATGACTTATATAGGACATCACAAACAAAGAAGTCAAAATGGTAAGAATGCATTCAGAAATACAACTCTTTTTCATTTTTCTCCTGTATTGCAAGCTGGTTTTGTCAAAACAGTTAACAAATGTTTCAGAAAGCAAGATTTACAGTACAGGTCAGGATACATAGAGCAATGATTATAAAAATATTGTATACTCTAATTTTACTTCTCAGAATTCTGAAATCTTATTGCAAATGCATTGAAATAAAAATAAAATAATATACTGTTGTTTTTATTTTATTAAAGAAATAGTCCTCACAACACCACAGGTATGCTTTGAAAATTTTTTAAAGTATAAATTGATATTGAATATAAGTATTAATTTCTATTTTCTACTAAACAGCTCACTTTATCAAAAGCTATTTTTAAGTTTTAGAAGGCACACTTTTGAAAAATAGTTGCAAGCATTCCAATGCCTATCTATCCTAAGCATTTTTCTTGGAAAACATCAACCTTGAACAGAACAAAAAAACTGATTCACTTCTCCATGAATGCAAAGAAGTGAAATTTTCAACATGAAATTCATGAGAGAAGTTTCTTACCAAGCCATATGGAGTTATGAAAAATTCCATCCTTGATTCCCCATCCGTGAGCCTCTTTCCACAGCAAGACAAATAAGGAAATTAAGATGATCATTTCTCAATTGTAAAGGAGTACCAGGCTGTTAGAAGCTGCTCAGTATAAATTCTCAGAGCAGAGCCGAAATGTGACTGAAACATCTGGTTTTCACATCTTTTAAATGGTTTTTTCAACTATGAGGTCAGCAAGTACTCTCCAATGGCATTCTCTGCTGTAGAGTTACACAATTAACTCAGTGTCTGAGAAAATCCTCTGACTCATTTGCATTGGCAACCAAAATTAAGGATATAGATGATCTACATTTTAAAAATTACTTGAAAAGGATTTCATTTGTTCTGTCAGTCACAGCCAACTTTCTATTAAGAAGTTTCTCTAACTTGGTAGATTCAGCAGTGTTTAAAAAAAAAAACTTTCAGTAGAATTTTAAGAAAAACCTTGAATGACTTATTTACAGTAAGTTAATTGTGAAGTATGGGGTTTGGGATTAAGTGGTAATCTTGAGCATGGCTTTGTTAATGTTACATTTATTTTCCTGAAACATGGCTAAGCTCACAGAGAAAATTTAAAACAAAAAATGTGCATAGTTTGGTAAATGTTAAGCCTTTTCCAGTGATTGTAGGGCTGCTTTACACTCTCACTGGATATGTCTTAGAATAGGGTTCTAAGAGTTCTTGGTTTGTTGCAGTCAGCAGGTAAATACCTCAGTTTCTACAAGAGTAGCTTAGTTACAGAGTCTTTGGAGTAGATTGCAGTAGCCTGGAGTATCTTATCACACAAATTTCTTTAGGTCACATATTCTTGAAGTTTTGGGAGAAATGTGGGTGAGTAGACAGTCGTAAAGTTAATAGAATGTGGCTTAAGCTTTCCCAAACCATCCTAACTTTGAAAAAGATGACCAAAATAGGTAAGAATTACCATAGTAAAGTCTCCATGCCTTAGATATCCCAAATCTTCATCTCCTTTTGCATAGGGTTATTGGGTAACATGCCTAGTAATATTCTCGCCAATGCAAGTGGCATTTCCTGTTGGCTCACAGCCATATGGGGACAGCTTTTGCTTCTCTTTTATAACTGGCTATTAATTGCTACTTAGCAACTCTTCTCTTGCTGCCAAATGGCTTCCCATTTGCTACCATTACATTCATTGCTTTCATCCTTTCTAGTTTCTCCAGTGATATTGGAATTGGAATCCTTTGAAAAAGTTAACTTTCTGGACATGTTCAAGTCATCCTTGAATCCCATGGGCATCTTTATATTTAACTTTGCCAGTTTGCCCTGGTCTCTCTTAAGAAAATAGTTTGTTGAACTATTCTTAGAGAATGTAGGTTGTAGGTACAGAATTTATTGGATACTCACTGATGTATGCAGAGGGTTCAGATCTCTATTTTGAACCCACAGCAAATGAAAAATGAGGAAATTGTATCCCTGCTCACCAATAGGGCTAGAGTTTAAGTTTTGTGCAAAAGAGGATATAGTTTAGATCAACTAGGTGTGACTATGGAGAAGGCAGGCATAGTCAGTGAGAACAGGATGAAGAATAAATAGTTGAGGGGAGCAAATCATATTGTTCTGGAGAATGAAATTATGTGAGTATTTTAAGTTTGTGGCTTAGGAAGTAAATATAACCTTATTTGCTTAAGGCTACAGCAAAACCAACACAGCCTTCCTGGTTCTTTTCTTGCTCACATTCTCTGGCCATGCCCTTTCTGCATGACTCTAAACTACCAAATTTCCCTGCAGTTCTCAGTTATAAAATATTACATTAAAAATTTACTCTCAAGAAAGAATTGGAAATTAATCTTTACTTAGGTCAAATACTTAACAACAGACACTCTTCTGTATTAATTTGCATTATTATGAAGCTCCAAGTACAGGAGGGTGTGAATGTTCAACTTGTTTGAAAATGAAAATTTAATGTGTTGTTTTGATGGATTAGCCCTACTTAGGGTAGAGGATTTTGTGTCACCCCCCACCCCTGCAAACTGCATTCAGAGTTCAAATATTTTTCCTCAACTTTGACAATGTTTGGAAACCCTATTCTCCCCACCATCAAGGAAACATAAAACAGTGCCAAAGGATGTGGGATCTGGTTTTGAGGGGGCGTTCAATTCTTGTGGAAGAAAAGAGAATTGAGGTTCTCATATGAAAAAGATGCAGTGGGCGTGGGTGGGAATCCAGGGGAAGACAAGAGGAAGAAGAGAGGGGAAAAAGGGAGGGCTGCCTATAAGCTCACCTTGAAAGTGGCTTAAGAGAAGTAGGTAGGGGGCTTCCCTGGTGGTGCAGGGGTTAAAGACAGCGCAGTCGAGCTATCACCAGTCACTGCAGCATGAGTTCAATCACCAGCCGGCCACAACCCACATGGCACAGGGAGCAACCCACATGGCACAGCAGGCCTCTCCTGCCTTGCCCGCTGCTCCCCTCAGCAGTGTATTTCAGTAGATCTGCCTGTTCTGCTCCCACTCTCTCTGGTGAATCCTCTCACCCCTCTTACCTCTGGCTTACACCCCAGTTCTTATATGCATAAATAAATCTTAAAAAAAAAGAGAGAGAGAGAAGCAGGCAGCCCCTGTCCAGCCCACAGTACATACTGCCCAGGATGTGTCTCTGAGGAGCTGAGAGAAGATACACTGAACAAAGCTCCTTTCAAGGTTTGCAGACTTCACCAGTCAAATGCCCTGCCTTCATGCATAAATAACCCCCCCTCTTTCCCTCAATCTCTTGATCTTTGGGTAAAGATGTACAGTGGTTCTGTTATAGGACAGGGAGAGGGGCAGCCCAAACCCCGCAAACCTGCCTATTCTAAATGGGTTCTGCCATCCGCCGCATCAACACAAAACATATGACACTTTAATGGGAAGGATCTTTAATAAAAACTAGGAAACAATACAGGTGAGGCAGAGTCTAGTTTCTAGATGAAGCACCCAAAGTTACCCATCCCCTCGTGGGTAAAACTCCATCCATATGGGGTCGGCCCAGAGCAAGGCCCCAAAGCCTGCCACAAGTCTAAAGCATCTTCCAGTGGGGACCCACAGAAAAGGGTCACAAACAACCGGACAAGCCCGGAAGGAAAAGAGCAAAATCAACATCCAGATAAAAGCTGCCATTGTCACCTCCCCACGGGTCTCACCCACATCTGTGTCACCCAGTCCACGACCAAAAGACAAGCGCAGTTTCTTCACGTGTCTCTAGGCTCCATGTGCCTCCTCCAGGTCTCCTTCTGGCTCCATCCTGCTTCCTTCCTTCCCCAGTCTCTTCTGCCGCTTCTCCTCTTCCTGCTCAGCTCCACCCTCCCTTTGGTGGGGCAGGGAACCTCCCCCTTTCCTGGGGACCACCCTGTTGCAGTTCCTTTTCAGTCGTTGACTGAACACCCAGCAAGTCTGTTTTTTTGTGAAGGCAGCTCCCTTTTAATTTTGCTTCCATGTGTCCAAAGGAGATACAGTGCAGCATCTTTTTTGAGGACTTGTGAGAACCATAGGAGTTGTTGACAATAAAAGCCCTTAGCATCATGTCTGGCTTTTGGTAGTCGTCAATATATATAGTTCTGGTTGCATTTAAAGTCAGTTCACCAGTCCTCCTTGGACTGTTTGATGATATCATTGGACTGGTCTTATCTTCATTTTGCTATTTTGTTTTGTCATGTTGCACTCCAGTGATCCAGAAGTTAAACTATCTTGCCTTAGCAAGGTAATAGCAGAATGTAGACTAAGAACTAATTCTGTTAATTCCTGTTCACACATCATTAATAAAGCCAAAGTGCTATCTCCCAAAAAGGGGAAGACGGGTGATTCCTGAAAGCCTTATTCCTGCTTAATACATTGCAGTAGCACAACCAAGCCTCAGAGAGATTGATGGCCTGTGGATCAAGAGGAAAGCAGCACATAAAATGAAGCCACAGCATCCTTGAAAAGGAAGATATTATAGCATGGTACAAAGCATGGCAGCTAATTTTGATAAACTCACTACCAGTTGAATTCTTTAAACAGAGAATTATCTTTGAACAACATTGGTATTTGGATGAGATAATCTTGCCAAGGCCAAAATGTTCCAAGCACAGGGGAAATATACATATGGCGCTTTAGAAACCAAACAGCCGAGTCCTTTGGAAAACCTTAAGTTCTTCAGTGTAGCTGGGGGTAAGGGACAGTGTAGGAGATAGGGAAGTGGTGGCAGATGAGCCAGAGGGAGGCCAAGGCTTCTTGCATAACTGAGGAATTTGAATTTTATCCTTGAAGCTGGAGTACATTGTAGAGACATTGCCTACTATGAATTGGCCCCCTCTAACCATTCCTCCCAGCCTTCCTCTCAGGTAATCATCATTTTATTCCTCCTCCTTCCTCTCAGGTAACCATCATTTTATTTACAGAGTTTTAGAGTATAGTTTTATTGTTAGTGTTTTGTGAACTTTTGTTCATTCATTTGCTTTTTTCTTTATATTCCACACACGAGTGAAGCCATTCTGTACTTGTCTTTCTTTTCCTGACTTACTTTGCTTAGCATAATCACCTCAAGTTGCATACCTGTTGTTGCAAAAGGCAAGATTTCATCTTTCCAGATAACTCAGTAGTATTCCACTGAGTATATACCACATCTTTATCTAGTCATCCGTTGATGGGCATTTAGGTTGTTTCTGTTTCCTGGTTATTGTGAATAATGTTGCAATGAGCATGGGATGCATATGTCTCCTGCAATTAGTGTTTTCATATTCCTCAGATAAATACCTGGAGGTGGAGTTGCTGGATCATATGGCAGTTATATATATATATATATATTTTTAATAGAGGCATGTTTTTATTTATTTGTTTGTTTGTTTGTTTGTTTGTTTCATTTATACATGCACTGGGTACAGTCAGAAGCGTGGTTGGGTGAGAGGATTCACCAGAGCCAGAGCGGGGAGCAGAGCAGGCAGAAGGACCGAAGTACACTGCTGAGGGGAGCAGCAGGTGGCAGGAGAGGTCTGCGTGCCATGTGGGACCCTCCTCCAGAGGCCAGGGAGCAGCCGGGGATCGAACTGGTGCCGCAGAGGCCACAGGCAGCTTCGCAACCCAGCGCTCAACCGCTGCGCCACCGGGGAGGCCCGGCAGTTATATTTTTAATTTTTTTGAAGTATCTCCATACTTTTTCCATAGAGGCCTCACCAATTTATATTCCTATTTACAGTGTACAAGAGTTCCTTTTTCTTTACACCTCTCCCAAC